AAAATTGACCTTTCGAGTGTTCGAACAACACGAATCAGTGGCAGTCTCCAGCCATCTGTGCTTCCGTCCTTTGCACCTTCCACTCGATTTTGTTCATGATATATCGATCCGCTTAGACTTGCACAGTTTACGGCAAAGACGATTATCCTTGCAGGATATTTACCATAATAATGCCGATTGCTGCGAAAACAGAACAAAATGATCACAGTTCTTTTTCCGATGACAAATCGATCAGCCGTGTTCTCGCCGTTCGGTTCAGTTCACATTGAACCACTCGTTAATTTCTACTTTTTTTTATTTAACAGGTGTATTTTTTGTGGCCATTTTTTCTGAGATAGGGATGTTTAAACCAAGTAAAAAATGTGGAAATGTTGTCGGGAGTGAGGGCTTTTTTTCGGGTTTTTTGGGTTTTTCAACACTGAGCGCTCGGACGCAGAGAAGGAGAACCACATAACCTTGCTCGTGCTTAGAGGAGGTTTTCAGCCAAAGAAATATAGCCTTCATCTAGGTCTTAGTAGGGAAGGAGCAGCCGGGTTGATAAGGTGATTTCCACGTACAAAAAGTTGGGACCACGTAAGTTTGAACATTCGATTAACTCACCCACCTCGTGCTCCTTCGTTCCTAAGGTTTAGTTCAAAAAACTGTCGCTCGCTAAGAAACGTTGCTAAGCACCGTTATGGGCTCAAAAACTCGTTCAGCCTACCTTCTTCGTACTCTAGCGCTGTGTTGTAAAAGAGCGGTGGCCTCCTCCAACTACATACTCACCCTACAAAGGATAATATATTGTCCAGTAATCTCCGTACTTCATCTTCGTTCATCCATCCGTCCATCCGGCTCATCTCTATCTCAGAGTTCAGTTTCCCACCAAATTCATACCAGATTAAAGCCAGAGAACGAGTACAGTAGCCTTCATGTAGGAGCTTTCATAAACCTCGACAAGACTGTAGCTTAACGTACTTCATGTCTTCAACTCTCACGAGTTTTTCTAAACTTGGTACCATATTACCTTCATGAGCATCGAACATTCTTCATGAATTTCATCAGAATCTGTCTCATCAGATATTTGACATTACAGGGCACTTTCAAATGTGTTCGCAGCGTGTAGGTCATTCGAACATCTCTAAAAGTGTTGGATGTGTGGCGTATACTAGATGAGATTCTCATGATTCTAGCATTTCATTTAGGGTGAGGAATCCCTGAACGTTCTTTAAACTGACTTTCCCAGAATCTATCTTATCAAAATGATTGGCATCACAGGGTACCTTCAAAGGTCCGTGCAAAGAACGCTACTCGCGGAGAAATGATGGAAATGTGTGTTGGGTCCCTTGATCTTTCGTTCATCCCTCCACGCCCCAATTATTTGGAAACCTTTTCGATTTCTTTGTTCAGGTAATAGGTAGGTTACGAATAAGTATTCACATCCGCCATCGCTTACAACCGGGATGAAACAAAACTCTGCAGCTATCAGCATCATCTCGATAAACATTTCTTGAACAGAAAATTGGATTCGCTGTTTTCCATGCAATTCTAAGCGGGTCGATTGGCGCTTGGTTGCTGCCGAAGGAGCAAATTCCGGTGGGTCAGCAGCCTTCATGCACACACAACCCTCTCCCCCCNCCCCCCCCCCCCCCCCCCCCTCCCCCCTTCCTCAAAATAAGGCTTTGCCTCTTGTTGTTCTTGATTTTACTTTTCAAAAAGTAAAAGTATATTGTTATTGTTGTGAGAAGAAAATTTGTTTCCAAACAAGTCAGAACTCAAAGTGTTGATTTCTGAATACTAGGAGCATCTGCAAAGGGAACTGACAAAGGTTAGAAGTCTTTGTGTTGACGAATAGGTTTTTCCATCAACAGTAGCGAAATCAGGCAAACTATTGAACAAATGATTAGGTAATTATTTTACAAACTTGGATGTAAACAATCGTTCCATTAATAGCAGTGGTAGTAATAGAGCGGCAAACCCGGAAACTCGACTTTTAATTTGACAGAACTTCCCACTGCTATCCTCCTAGAAACGTTTTCGACACATTGAAAACAGGTTCAGGTTCGGAATCTCAAACTGGGGGGACAAGGGCTCACAAAGAGTCACCCCAATGATAAGTGGTCGTCTATTTGACTCGAACCTGGCGGAAGATTTTTTAATCTCGTCTTCGAACCTTTTCCCAGTACACTTCTGATTTTTTTTTTGTTTTAACGAACCCTTTTTAACCTTTTAGTTTTGAGTATTCATTGCATTGTAATTCTGTCATTCTTCAACACTAATTTACTTCATTACTCTCCATCTATTTTATTACACTTACCTCATTTGGGGTTTGTAAGATCAAAAAATCGGTTCTTGACCAAAATCAGATTTACTTTCTTGTTATGAAGCTTTCTACGGAATTGACATCCACACTTTGCACGTTTCTCGGCTATATAGAGCCGGGCAAAGATCGATGGCCAAATCGATCCATAGGGTCTGATATAGCGGTGGATTGGTAAACTTTTCCGTCGTCGATCTTGATTATTGTATCGAATGGCCTAGGGATTACTAGAAAGTACGTGACTGACCAGTTGATCAACTCTATGTGAGATCCACTATTCAGCAGCCTGTTGTTCTACTGTCATTTTCAAGTGTGTGATGGGATGGGGTTGCCAGACGACTGCTTGAAAGTTGATATCCGATCACTCCACTATTCATAACTGAATCACTAAGAGAGTCTTTAAAGATCCAAGCGCAGCCTTCTATTGAGCTCACCCAAGACTTCTTTATACAAAATTGTTAGGTATTCGAAGACAGGCGCTTTACACAGATTTCGAGGTTCGTGTCATGGCTGCATGGAGAACTTTGTCTTTCCCACTCCATATGATCAGCAAGCGGGATGGAATAGAAGTTTTTTAATGCTCAGATGTACTGAAATGATGATTATTCATTGCGTCCTATCAATTTCATGCATATGATAATTTAAATTCGACAAAAACCATAGAAGAGATTGTGAAACGAATTGGTTTGGAACGAATGATATCATCTAATCAGGAAACTCAAGAAGTCCTATGTTCGATTTGTTGCTCAAAAAACATCAAGCTTTGTCTTTCAGAGGCATTCTGAGCGGTGACTTTCTCATTTTCTGTAGATATTGCTTGTCACAGGAGAAAGTTTTTGGTTATTTTTGAAATAAATTTAATGTTGCTGTGATAAGACTGGTCAGGAACACGGGGGCATTTGATGGGCTGTCAGAGAGAGAAGAACGGCCTGCCACATTACGTCAGACTTCATTTCGTCTCTGTTTCTCAGTTTATTCCTGCCCATTGTCTCGTGCATCCTCACCCCTTCTACTTGATCATTATAAAGCTTCTTTTAAAATTATTGCTATAATAAGGTTTCCATTTTGTGGTAATTTCCTGCGACGTCATCATCCACCTCGAGTCCATTAACAAAAATTGAGCATTATTTATATCTAATCACTAATTTTCGAAAACAGGTCTGCCCCTACAGTTGAATGGGACAGCTAGGGAAGTCTGAACCTTCAGTCACGGAAATAACATCAAATATTTTAGGGCTCTTGCATTAGGCTCTGGCGCTGTGAACGGCCAAATGATGCTTCACGGGAAACCGATGAGACGGCCGTTTTATAGGATCAAACTACATTCGAGTTCGTTTTTCAGTAAACTTGGCGTTAAGAGAGAGCGTCTGTGGCATGGGCGCCTGGTTGTCTCGGGTTAGGGGGTATTATTCGTAATCATTTTTAGCGGGGAAAATACCTTCCGAAACAATTCGAGATCCCACCCAATTCGAAAACCATTATACTGATCACCTAGAATGGTATAGTAAATGATAAGTTGTGTTGGAAATTTGAAAATAGTTTCGATGACCCTCGTTAGGTCAGAATGGGACGAGTCGTACGCTCGGCCTTCTACAACCCTATTTGGGATTCCAAACTAATACATATTGCTGCTGCAGAATAATCATTACAACTTTACAAGTACGGTTCGAGTCCCGCCCGAGACTGAAGTTTTGTCCATAAACCTTGTGAGACTTTCGCATCGCATACTGGGGCAAAAAAAACAGCTGTTAACAAAACATCAAGTCCACATCATTACAACTTTTTACTAGTGAGTAACTGCCTGAATCCAGCCACTTTTTTGAAAAATTCGCGGCGCAAATTCAGAGGTCAATGGGTTCAAAGATCTGCATCAACTGATGAGGAATAAGCGGTCACTCGGAAGAAGGGTTTAGCCAACCGTTATCTGCCAAGGAATGTGGTTTCTTAGACGCTTCGGGTCTTATGTGTTCGTTGTTGACATGGTACACAGTTATCAGAACGTCCGGCGGATGTCCTGCTGATAGCGTTAGAACTTGTAGCGGCCTCGATCTTCCATCGATTTCCTACGTTCGCTTGGAATTTCTCCCAGGTGACCGACAATGCTCATTACTCATTCTCCTTTACAGTTGTGTTGCATTGTGGGAGTATGGTTTCTCGAATGTTCCCACTTATTTCTCTCTTGTTGTTTATCTTTTTTGTTGTTGTTTGTATTTCTTCCATTAAATCATGTAATGTAGTCATTTAAATTGTTCTTTAAATTCACTTCTGGCCCCGGTAGTGTTCTTCATGGCTTCTTTCGCTTGAGTACGCCACAACAGATCGTAATTTCGTGGAAACAAGGTGATAGAGATAGCTCCCAGGCAGTTATCGAAGGAAGACTTGCTAACTGACGTTTAGGACCTTTTTGGCATCTTCATACTGTAAAAAGAAGCAATTATTATGTACGGAATTGGCAAACAACTTTTTACGCTTCTTTGCAAAATTCCGCTGCAACTCTGGGCAGATGGCGTGACATTGTTCCGTACAGGTTCCCAAGTCTTCCAATAGAATTGTCCCAGTTAAATTGCAGTTCGGGACGTGCCACGTTTTCGGCTTCTTTGAGGAATTGCAGAGGCGTTCAAATGAGCATGTAGCCAACGTTCGATTGAATGTTGCCCTGAAATATGATCTCTGTTGGTGTAACCTCGGCATTCAACTACGACTAGCTGCTGGTCTCAGATCGTCTGCGATGGACCCCGGCTTCTGAAGAAACAATCAAGTCGAAACGTTAGGCTTCTGAGCAGTCGACTTGTTCCACCTGAACAACTACCTAAAGCATATGATTATGTTATTCCCGATCTGCTCAAGACGAGTTGTGAGCATTTCGATCAGTCCCTAAGAGGTACCTTATTCGTTTGGGGAGGAAGGACATGTGGTAGATGACTTGATCGAGAGATCGATCGATTGCATGGACTAGTACGTGATAACTGTGACATTTGATTTTAGTTCCTATCTATCCTTTACATAATCATTATCCTCCTAGCAAAAATTGGGTCGCTGATCGAGCGTGAACTAGGACCTAAAAGCATCTCAAGGTTCTCGGCAGCGCAGAAATATTATCAGATGTACTTCGTGTCTTCAAGTTTTTCGTGTCATACCACTTCTTTACAATGCCTTTCTATGACTTGCAGCCTTTTTTGCATGACTGCCATAAAAGGTGCAATGAAGCACTACCAATGAAAACTCACGTCTCCACTGCATCGTTCTATTCAGTGACTTTGGAATTACTCATAAGCGACAGTATAAGTCACTTTCAGAAGCTGGATCGCGACTTTCCTCAAGAAAAGCTATGCCCAACGGACCATCAGAGGAAGTCGTACAGGAAACTGTTGTTCATGGGCGACCATCGCATACATGGAGAACGGTAAGTGCAATGCGCAGAGTATTTTTATTTGTGGTTTAGATCTTCTGGCTCATTTAATTTTTTCCCATATTCTTATGTCACAAGCAGTTGTCCACTAATGAGGAAGTCCAAAGTTCCAGGTGCTCCTCAGCATTGTCGTCGTCGGATCCGTAGCATGCACATGGGCCTTGTCCACCCAGTTCAGTAAGACGGCATTGGTCATCGATCCGGTTAGTCATTTGGCAGCACGAAAAATTATTGCGTCTAAAGGAACTCTTTGGAAAGTGCTAGGTTAAGTGGAATGACTTGCAAAGTTTTTTCGCTTATTTCAGTACATTCCTAAGTAAGGTTAAACAGTAGGATACGGTAGGAGTCCACGGTGTTTCGGAGAGTGTAAGTCTCTGTATTTCGTTATTCGTCATCTCGACGAAACATGGTCGAGTATTCGTGTGACTAGGAATCGACAGTTCTGTCAGGGCCCTTTATGTCATGCTGTCGCTTCTCGAGCGCAATATTCCGGGTTACGTCCTCGTGAGCGTTCTCTGCCTTCGTGAGCGTTCTCTGCATCCCTGACAGCGAAAGGATAGAGCGCAGAGAAAGATACCCTGGTGAGGTCCACGGAGGGAGGGGGATATCAATAGTCGGACAAGCAGAGCAAGTCAAGACTCGAGTGAGAGGGAGCGCGACAGACGAACGCACGAAAACGGGCGCGGTCGCCAGAATTGAAGGGACCTAGTCCAGGTGGTCCGTGGGCCGCCTAATCCGATGCCCAGGAGATGATAAATCTTCCATTCTTGGATGATATTCGGGGGACTCGACTCCTGAATGAGCGCCCCACCCTATCACCCTTCAGCACTCTTTAAAGATGCAGCTATGGCTTATCATGAAGGAATCTAAAACTGTCAGCGACCTGTCAATCTGAGCTACAAGCCGTTGTCAGTACAAGTATCAAAAAAGCTTCAACATCACCAAGTAACATCACCATCGGTGATTAATTCAATGTCAACGTAATTCTTTCGTTACGTACTTTGTTCCATCTTCACCACGGATTCCGATACGATGACCTTTCTCAATGTGAAGCCCCATCTCCCAACCCGATCGAGAGCCTCGGGATTGTACATGGCAGAGTAGAACTTTCAGGGGCTTCCTAGTCGCTTTCACTAAAAACATGGTTACAAGGACCAGGCAACAAAGAAAAACGCAGTTCAAGAACGCATCTGCTTTGATAGTAGAACTCGGACTGCAGCATCCCATGTGGATCAAGAAAATGGAAAAGGGAAACCTCTTCAAGAGTCGCCAAGGTCTTGGTGGAGCATTGCCCGTAGGTTCCAGAGAAAGCATGACAACCCGGAGTATAAGGGAAATCTAGAGGTAATCTGATCTTGTTGAGAAAGGGAGTTTTACGAAATTTACGAAATTATGTCCTGTGTAGAGTTTTTGGGGGTGTGAACGTTGACGGAGCCGGACACAGACCCACTACGTAGGTTGCCTTTTATATTTTGAGATTTGAGAACAGAAACGAATACTATTCATTGAAAATCGCTCTACTGCCTTTCAAAATTCTCCACATTAAGATCTATACAGTTTCCAACTTCAAAACGGCACAAAATTGTTTCAATCATAAGATCTATACACTTTTGCATGGGCTCGAACCAATTTTTGAAGCACTTTTGCCACTCTGATGTAGGTAACTCAAAACATGGATCCTGAACGCATCAACGGCTTCTTCAAG